TACAACCGCTAACACCGTCAGCCACTGCCAGTTACAAGCTAATAAACATAAACAAATAAAAGATGCTAACTACGCTAACCCATCCGTCTGCTAGTCTCTGATTCTGATCTCAACAGACTCCTCACAATCTCCTGAGTCTCTCTGATGTTTCCTCCTTTAACCATCTTGATTCTCTCTGCTCTTTCACCTGTCTACCTGGAGCGAGCAGGTGGTGGGTGGGGCACAAAGCCTGATCCAGATTTCTCAGCGAGGAAGTAAGAGCAGATGAGCTTCAGATCCAGCTTTTTAATCAGTTTTTAAGTGCAGATTTGTACTTGTTTTCTTACTAAATAAGAGACATGGCTTCTGTAGGTGGGTGTCTATTCACCTGTTTTATGTGCGTTTTCTGTTTGGGTATAAAAAGAAAACCCTGATTGGAAACCCTAAAAAATAATCTTCAAAATAAGTTTTTATTCTCGACTGAGGTGGAAAATGTTTGTATCGGTAAAAACAAAATGTGACAAAGTTCAATGGAGACAGATTTAGATGATAAATCATGAAGCATGTGACTTAAACCAGCTGTCTGTGGTTCTGTCTCTGTCTCACCTTCCATCTTCTGACCTTTGACCTTTGTGTCAGACTACACTCAGAGGGAGGAAGGTTAAAGCGTCCGCCCCATCTGTGTGTCGCTGGCTGTCCAAGCTCCTACACTTTTCGCTCTGACCTTTGACCCTTTAGACATGAAAGTAAACTGCTGATTCCACAGAGGATCAAACAGAGAGAGGAGGAGGAGGAGGAGGAGATAAACCCTCGTCACAGCAGCTCTCAAACAGAGATGAGATAGTTTATTAGCTTCCATGTAGCCTCGAGGCTAACAGGAGGGGGGTGGTGGTACACACGCATCAGACAGAAAGCAGCAGGCTGTCAGATGTGATCATGAGCTTCATTAAAACTGCAACACAAAGATCTACAGTGTTCGTGTTTTAAGAGAAAACTTCAATCTTAATCTTTAATCTGGATTCTGTTTTATTTTATTTTTGTGAGTGAATCATTTAAACTGGAGCTCACTGGTGTGGAAGTCGATTCAACCAGTCCAAAAGCTTTCTGTGGTCCAGGGTTTATCTTAGACCAGGTCTAAAACATGAAACTGTAACATATTTACATTACATTTTATCCATATTTCTTTGATATTACTACAGTTTTTTATGGATTCAACTGTTTATAGTCTGCAGAAATTCGGACTTTCGCAGACACATAAAGTGTGAATGAAGAGCTCAAAATGTCTGTGAGAGAGTCGTCGTGCCCTTGATGGTTTGACAGTGGGACGGTCCAGAAACACACATAAGAGACGAGGTAGGAAACACAGGTAGGAGACAAGATAGGAAACACGTAGGACATAAGATAGGAAACAAACACAGGGAGATGAGAGGGAGCTGAATCTTGAAACTGTTTTCACCGGCTCGGGGGATTCACAGGAAATGAGGCGTGTTTTTCAACCCAGCGTTACTGTTTGTAATTTCGTCTCAGTGGTCACAGCCTCACTGTTCACTCCACCAGTGTTACTGTATCACAGCTGGGTTAAGTTACTGCGTATGCAAACCAAATATTTTTTTATAGCTGCTGCTTCCTGCAACAGAAACCTGCTTTATTTTATTTTGATTAATGACCATTTCCTTTGTAAATCTGAAAACAAATACAAAGTGCGATAACAGATATTGTAATGAGATGAACATTAAAGATAGATAGATGCCTGCGTTACATCCTCCCGTCTATGTGAGCTGCACTACTTCCAAAAATCAAGCTCTATTTGCTGGATGAAGACCCTGAAATGTGGACGAGAGCTCGGTAAACTAGGACCTGTAAATGCAGATTCTCACATTTGACAACCTTTTTTTTTGTCCTGTTGAAGCATTTTGCAGAGAAAAACATTCCTCATCACAGAGACATGAATCCTCCTGAGCGTCGACTCACCTGACAGACGGCAGCGATGACTCCGAGCCGATAGAAACAACAACACTGTGTCTTCATTCGTGTTTCACAGTGTGCTGACAAGTGAACGCCGCTCGCCACATCAAAACCTCTCAGTTCCTGAGTGCTGCTGCTGCTGCTGCTGCTGCCGCCGCCGCCGCCGCTGCGTCATGTTTCAGTCTGATAGCTGAGGCTTTTCACCCCGACAGTCAGGACTTCAAACAGCTGCAGCTGCAGAAATGACAGAATGAATTAAAAAAAAGAAAAGAAAAGCTGAAGGACAGAGTGGCCTTTCAGAAGAGCTGGGAAACTGTAAAATAACGAAAATACACTCAACAGGAAAAACTGTGTTTAAAAAATCCTCTTACAGAGCTTTTGACAGAGTTTCTGCCTTTTGCTAAAGATAAGAAAATCCTCTTTTCTCCGCATGTTGAATGACTTGTTTCTTAAAAGACACCCAGTTAGAAGTGCATTACAGCAGAGGAGCACATGTCTGGATTCACCTGTCAGGTGGGCACAGGGGCACAGGGGCACAGGTAGTAGCCATAAAAGGTATTTAAATATTTTGGTCTGTATTTCCACAGGTTTCAAACACAATATATATTAATATGAGAAAATAAAGTGATAGTGCAACATGAAAAAAAGTCCAAATAAATTCCTATGGCTGCAGAGGATTAATGTTCGTCTGAGAGGAAACGTCTGGAAAAGCGTTTGTCTCACGCTGTGGATGATCGTAAAGTACCGTTTTTTTGTCTTCCTCTGTACTTTTGGAGCTACACTTCCCATAATGCTTTGGGGAATGTAAACAGGAAGTGTAATATCCCCATGGATTCAGCGAGTTATGCTGTGGGCTCTGTTTTTTCGAACTATATTTGTTCACATTTTGGCAAATTTGGACAATGAAAAGTGGACGAAATAGTTGTTGGCAGTTCCTGTTTGTAATGTGCTCGAATGACAAATGTCACTGGATTACTTTGCTGAAGAAAACTTAAAAACGTTAAGGAGGAGCGTCTTTTTTATGATTTCTAATTGGATTAATGGCTGTTAATTCACAAAGGATGGAGATAATGACAAACTCTGAGAAGTGTAAGTCTCACTCCGCTGCATGTTGTAAATGTTTTTATTTCAGTCAAGTTTATTATAGTGCTGTTTGACTCAGAAATGAGAGTGGCCTGCTTTATATGTGGCTGACTGAAAGTGCCGATTAATTACTGATTAATTACTGTTATAGATTACGACATTTAACAGTCGTATTTATTGGGATTTACATCATCCCTGAATTGCTACCGTCCCAGATGGTTCTACGCAAACAACCATCTGGGGCGTCACTAGATTCATAAGAAATTATGAAAGAGTTTTGATGCAAAGTTTTGTTGTGGGTCCAAATATTTTTGCTGGAGGGCCGGATTTATCTCATGACTCGCTGTTTGCCCTCACCTGTCCTCGGGCAACGGCTAAACGTTGCTGCCAGCTTTAGCTTACACGTAGCACACGCTGTACGGATGAAGCTGAAGCTGAATCTTAACTCATTTTCAAACTGGGACCGCTCGTTCACCAGATCAGCTGTCGAACACAGAAGCTTTAAAAACAAAAAAGTGGCTTCGTATTTAAAACCTTAACAGAGGTAAAAGAGCATTCTGACCACGGCTGTCAGACTCTGTGTGTCTCAGCTTTGAAGACGGGGAGTGTGTTGGAGCGTTGACAGTCACAGGAGGCTTATTTATGGCGAGCGTCGCCGTGGATATCTGTGTTACAGCTGAGTGTCAGTATGTAGCCGCAGCCCCTGCTGTTTATCACGGTTAACGTGACTGTTTGTCAGCTCTAAATATCATGTCAGGCTCTGAGTACAGCAGAGTTATTGATGGGCCCATGTGGTGCGTTCACTGCCATTACAGGGGAAATAAATGTCGTACATATAGAGCATCGATTCCCGGCTCTTATCTGGCTCTCAGGTGCTAAAATCAGATGTAGCCGTGTGCGATATCTCTTAGCGCAGGTGGGTGTAAAGTCAAAGTCGCCCACCGCTCGCCTGCCTCTTATAGTCATGTGACCCTCAGCTTGCAGGTCATAGCGGCTCCTCGACAATCTCTGTCCACGTGGAAGTCTTTCCTCCGTTTGTTAAGGTTTAATGGACAAGACGAGCGTCTCCCTCCAGGTGCTTGAAACAACCAGCTGCCCAATCAGAGATGACGTCTCCTGTTGTTGTTGTTGTTGTTGTTGTTGTTGTCGATGGTGATGATGCCTCTGACCCCGCTGACCCCCCGTCTCTCTGAACTGATCCCTCTCTTTTCTCTCTTGCTCTGAGGTCTCGGTTTGTTGAGGGGACAGTCCATGGCCCTATTGATGACAGTTCATCAGCATGCAGGGGGGGCTTCTGCCGTTGCCGCGGCAACCAAACACCCCCCCCCCAACTCCTGAGGCTTTAATCTGTCCCCTCTGATTTAACCCAACACTCGTGCCTCCATCAGTCTCACTGAAGATTTTAACCAACTGTTTCTTCAGCCACACGTCTGTCGTCTGTTATTTTTCATCTGCATCTTTAACCATGAAGTTTATCTGCAGGTTTTTCTCATTCTTTATCAATTATAAATGAACAGTGTGAACTGAAAAGGTCTGTGAAGTTGCAGCCCACTTATTTTCTTCTTACCTGAGGAAAACAGATTTCAATAAGGAAATTATCGTGTTATCACAACAAAGAAAGATTCATTATTGAGAGGATTAATTATTCATCTGCGTGAGTCGAGGCCTCGAGGAGGTTTTATTGTTCCTGGAAAAGATCTGAGCTGTTTGAGGCTCCAGATGTTCTCAGTAACGTTGTCGCGGCGATAACGTCAAAGTGACCAGAAGTCATTGATTACAGATGTGGGCTAGCATCCAGGAAACTGTATGGTGATGAGCTCTGATGCAGTTCGGCGGCAGCCAATCAGAATGTAGAAGTGCTCCGCTCTGGAGAACACTAGAGAACAAAACCCTGTGTGTTGAGTGAATATAAAACTTTGTCATTAAAATGAAAGCAGCTAAAATACTGACGTGATTTACTTTGTTTCCCTCAGGTCAGCTGGTGGCGGGGACCTGCGAGATCGTCACTCTGGACCGGGACAGCAGCCAGCCGAGGAGGACCATCGCCCGACAGACGGCCCGCTGCGCCTGCAGGAAGGGACAGATCGCCGGGACGACACGAGCCAGACCGGCCTGCGTCGACGGTAAGATGATCGCCGCCCTCTAGTGGCTGCAGCTGATGTTTGGCAACACGCAGGAACAGGAAGTCTTAGGTTTTGACCAGAAGATGAAGGAAATTCAGGCACATTTGGGACACGAAGAATTTGATATTAAGGCAGGTGAGAAGATGACAGAGTTCCTGCTTCCAACATATTCCAGGATGCTTTTATTCCCGCCTCTGTCAGCGCTCATCCCTGCAGTTCTTCTGTCATCTACCGCCTCTCCTGTCTCGCTGTGTATATTTCTTGCAGTTAACAAGCTCTTGTTCTGCAGTTTTTGAATCTTGCAAGTGTTCACAGAGACCGAGTGGATGCTTTCCTTAGATTAGGGTGTTTCGAACTGTGAGGTGCATCTTTCCAGGCGCCACGGGAGTTGAGTTGAAGCCGTGGTAGTTAGTCATTTTGGTTTGGCCTGATGATTTGGCCTGTTAATCAACACGGTTTACAGTTGGAGCTGCTGCAGAAGCTGCAATACAAAGCTCATAAAGACAACTAAGGTACATTTAAACCCTTCACACCTGACATCCACAAATCCACTTAGAAATCAGAAAAGATTCTCTCCTTACAATTTCAGAACTTTGCTTGAGAATCCTCACATTTTAAAGTAATGTAGTCATAACTTGTGTGTACATTGCTAACAACAACTGCTAACGGCTAATCCATCATACTCTTAATTGTCCCAGTTTGTCAAAATGTAGAAAAAAATACAGACTAACAAAAACCTCAAAGGACCTGCAGTTTCCAAATAACAGCTGCCAAATAAAATGAAGACAAAAGAAGAAGAAATGCATGAAAAAGTTCATTAATATTCATTATTTCATGTAGCACCATGGATGTAGTTTCCCTTTATCTTTACTAAGGCTAAGTGTTTTTGAGTGATTGTTATTTTTAAGTGCATTAAAATGTCATCCGGTACGATCTCCCATGAGAGTTTGTAGTTTGTGAAGGAAACAAACGTGTCTTCTCCGTGTCATCTGGACTGTGAGGTTCAGAAAGTTACAGCCCAGCGTTTCTCTACATTTCATCACCGGCTCTCTCCTCCTCTCTTCTCCTTCTCCTTCTCTTTCTCTTCTCCACCATCTGGAGACGATGACAACAGCTGGAGGGATTCGGTCATCTCTGCGGGGACTCACAGACTCTCCCGGTGACGTTCAGACACTGCGAAACAGTTGTTTAGTCTCTCCTGCTGCTTTCTCGCCGATAAAGCTTCAGCCGAATAGAACTAGATATTTTCTCATGTATCTATTCTAGTCTTGATGCTAAGATGAGCTAAACACATCCACGACACATCCCTCCTTAAACGCACAGTATGTCATTTCTGCCATTCTCAATCAAAACAATAACAAAAGACGGCGTTGGGTGATGCTAACCTTTAATATAACTTATGAACCAGACGTCCAGGATGTTTTTACTGACAGCTGAATTATCCACAGAGGAGTCGTCCTCTCCATAACAAACAGGCTTTCACTTTAAAAATCCCTGATTCACCGACGCTCTTCCAGACGTCCGATGACTAAAATACTTAATTTGGTTAAAATATATAGTTAAAAACGACCAAGGTGTAAAAAGTGTATCCTAAAAATGTGGCTTCTGGCAGGAAACGCCGAACCATGTGCAAAGCGGATACGATGTCATTGACAGACGACCAAATTAAAATCACGTGTTTCTCTAGGTTTGAGAATTGCTGGAAACATTTGGGATAATGTAAGTACACAACTCAACTCAACAATTTAATGCTGAAAGCGTAGATATTATAACTTCACATGTCTAAACATCCTGACGTCTGAGCGGTTGGAGCTGAAACAGAAGTTAAAGTTTGTGCTGTCAGCGATCACAACGGTTTGAACCTGCTCTGCTGCCTGGGGAGGATGTTGTCAACAGCAGCCTCAGTAACGATGCTGATTGCTGCGACCTGTTTTCTGTGTCTCAGACACTCATCAGCAGCTTCTTGTTTTGTTTTTTTTTTTACTCCCTGAACGTCTCTGAACAACCAAAATCAAACCTCCTTAAACCCTCAGTGGCCTCTTCACTGCAGCGGTCGGCCAGAAGCTGCTGCTGGTTGTTAGACAATAAACTCGGGTAAAATATAACGTCTCTCTTTAACTGTCAACAGCCAGACAATGTGGCCAAAAGTATGTGGACACCCGATCATTCCAGCCATACAGGATAGTTGAATAATATATTGTAACTTATATTAGAGAGTGCTAATACGAACGTTAGATGTGAATGACAAATCATTGCAAATATCATGCGGAAAATGTTTTATTTTATAAAGTATTCAGAGCAAAGTTTAGCCGTCACTCGTGTCTCTCTGTGTGACCTTTACAGAGCTGCATGTTGGTATTTATGTCAGTTTGTGTCTTCTGTTGTGATCTCAGGTAACACAAACTCTAAAGCAGAAAGAATGTTTCAGGGAGGGAAAACTTTCCTCGATTCCAGGGGAAATTTGTATAACACAAAAAGAACATAAAGAAACCAAAATATGCCAAAGTAAACAAAGAACTTTCTGCACCCACATCACAGAAGCTGCACTTACATGAAAGGAACAATAACACTATTGTACATTACCACACTCGATTACAAATAAAAGTTAAAATATCAAAAGTAAAGGTGCTCATTATGCAGAATGATCCGTGACAGTGTTATATTATTATATTGTTGGAAAGAATTATAAAGGTCTGCATCCTACAATTTTTATTATCAGTTAATCTGCCGATTATTTTCTGTATTCAATGTTTATAAAATGTCAGAAAACAGTGAAAAATTGACGATCTCAGTACTTTGAGTTTTGAAAACATCTGAAGACTCCCAAAAGTTATTCACTTTACAACAGTATAAAACAATAAAAACATAAAACTTCACAAATTACAAACTGGAATCAGCGAATGTTTGGAATTTTTTAATAGATTTTCAAAATAATTGCCTTTTTTTTTCTGTCAGTCGACTAGTTGCAAAATGCTTCTTCTTGCAGAGTTTTGTTTTTATGCAGTAATCCAATAATAATGCGGTAGATGCATCTTTATTCATTGCTTCCAACAATGTAACTGATACTGATACTTTACTTTAAATCACAAAACAATTACAATTAAAAGCTTTTCATTTGTTTTTTGAAGGGTGGGTTTGGAGCCAAAGTGCAGTCACAGTTCAGAAAGCTTTAACTAAAACTCAGACCTCAGCAGCAGCTACGTCGGCGCTCAGTGACCTTTACTCTGTTTCTGAGAGCTGCATGTTGGTATTTATGTCAGTTTCTGTTTGAGGCGGTTGCTCACTTTGCCTTTTGTTGCTCTGCTGCTGAAATCCACCAGCAGAGCTGAGAGGAAGATCCAGGCTGCGGTCGCCTCTTATCTGTCCTCTCGCATTGCAGATCCCCGGCTCGAACACCTAACGTCAGTCTGAGTCCTGGTTCCTGTGCGGAGTTCCCGCTCTGAATGGGATAATCCCATCACAGGAAGCAGAGGTTACACTCAGAGGGATGTTTTACAGATACAGAAACCTCAAGTCCCCTTAAATCTGCCTTAAAATGTCTGATTCAGCATCTCCAAGGTTGATCTTAAATAATAAGAGAAAATGGTGTTTCTCAACCACCTCCTCTGCTTTGCACACAACAGAAAAATTAAAAAGAAATATTATGGTATGGTACAATAATGTTATCGTACTCAACGTGTTGAATAAAAAAGGCCATGCGGCTCCGAGCCTGTGCGGTGAAACAAACAGGTGAGACCTTTTTGTTTCTCATCAGGTGGAGACGAACTGAAAAGGGCAGAGAGGCGGTGCATTCAGGGACTCAACTGTCAGCTGTTCAGAGTGAGTCCTGGAGTCGGAGAGTCGTTAAAAGCTGCACTGACCTCAGAGGTCAAGTCAGAAGAGAGAAAAAGAAAATATGGAAGAAAAACAAAGGAAAAAAGTTAATGTGATGAAGTTGGAGAGAAAATTTTATTCACCAACATTTCCATATGATTCATATTAAAACAAATCCACATATGTTTATATCCTATATTCACAAAAACTTTTATTTTGTGACCATGAATTATAAGAACAGTGTCTCACAATTATCGGAGAAATTATCACATAATTACCAGATAAATATCTCGTAATAACAATGAAACCTTCTTTTAATCAGAAGATGTTTGTCTTGTGATTATGAGACAATGATGAGATGTGTATCTAAAGAGATATTTAAAACTTTAAAAGATGTATTTTGTAATTAAAATCCTATGAAAACTATTTGGTCATTATAAAATCTGTAATTGGAGATTATAAGTCATAGTTAAGAGAAAACATCTTTGTTTTTCTTTGTTAAATGCCGAGAGCTTCTGGCGAATATGAAGTAAAACAGACTCAAGAACAAGTTATGTAAAGGAAATAAAGGAAAAACAAAGGTAAATATACGACAAAGACGGGAGGAAAAAGAAGAGAAGGAGAAGAAAGTGAAGTAAAGAAATATATAAAAAAGGATGATTTTCTTTCCCTCTCTGTGGCTCATCAAACTTGTCTGTCCTTTAAAAGAGGAATAATGGTTTCCGTCTCCACTTCCTGTTCAGACTGTAGCACCATTTTTAGTTTTTCCTTTACTTCCATCTGTTTGTTCTTTGCCTCATTTCTTTTCACTCCTCTCTTTCCCCTCTGTTCGTCTCTTCCTCTGGGGACAGAGCGGCGTCCCTCCTTCTGGACGTCGTCTTTGATGAATGAAGCGATTACAAAACGTCCTCCTCTCTTTTCGGATAAATGAACTGCGCTGAGCGGCGGCAGACGGATCTACGTTGCGGTTGTTCATTAATCAGCTTGGTGATGCAGCGTTCGCAGGTGTTCAGGTGTTCACTGGTACCTGAGATTAATCCACTGCACCTCCATTACACACTGTTTGTTAGTGTGAAGGTCTGTTTTCTGTTTCTGACCGTTTTCTATATTTAACGCCTGAAAACACCTTCACACATCCTGCGCTCTTATTGGTCAGAAGTAGAGACCTGCAGGTGAACAAGGTTTCTCCAAACATTTGACCCTGGTGAAGTTAAATATTGATGACAAGATTAAATCTTAGTTGAGATAAAAATCCCTTTGTCTGTTCTGAGCCAAAATTAAAATGCACAAAAATCTGTAGAAACTTTAAATGTTGATTGATGTATGTTTTTGATTTTTTGATCCCATGTAGAACATTTCACTCGTAATAAATTCATATATAAACACATGCATTTTACAGAGATCTCACACATGAACTATAATAATTGACAAGTTGCTTGTTTGCGTTGAAAACTGATTCAAGGAGGGGATCAAATGTTAACATGGTAACACAAGAAAACTTCCTTCCAACATGGTCCGGAAATATCAAAAATCAAGAATGACACAAACTCATAAAACATGTAACATAACGTTTATGCTTTAACTGTTATGATATAATACTTTTAATAATAACATCTTTATTTTAATGATTTAGGAATAAGTATAAAAGAGGCACAAAATGGACATAAAGTAATAAATAATAGAGAATTAAAACGCTAATGAAATTCCTCCGTTGGCCAGACCGTCTCATTTCAGTTCGGTACACGACGGCCACGAAGGGCCACACCTTTGTAGACGGCGTCCTTTAAAGGATGTGGCACCTGAATTGGGACAAATCTTAAACTTCAAAAGTGTCAAATCCAAAATCGTTTTGATGTTTCAGTCTGGATCACACGGGATCCACTGACAGACCGATATTGCCGTCCACGGAGCAATAAGCCTCTTTACCTTCATCCAGCTTCATATTCCAGAGATGAACTAAGATTAGATGTTACTGCAGGAAAAGTAAAACTCAAATTATAAGTGAATATGGAATTTCTTTCGAAACAGTCAGTGATTCAGTGATTCTGGGCTTTGGAGACATTTTGTGATCAGTTAATACGTCAGTGTGATGTGTTTCAGAGCCTGGTCAGGTTCACTCTGAGTTGTTGTCTTGAGTCTCAGCATTTCCTGCTGATTTCAGGAAACAGCTGTATTTACGGCCTCGCTGTGAGGCGTCTGATAAAACACTTAGTCACTGCTGTGGTAATGGAGGTTGTGTGGAGGGAATCGTGTGGCGAGCTCAACCCAGCGGTGGCATCCTGGGACAATGGAGGAAAAAGACGAATCAACGAATGTGGCGGCCGCTGTCGGCTTCCATCCTCGTCTTCAGCAGGTGATTACACGTTGTCCTCTCAGAAACAGCCAGGGCGCTGCTGTTTCCTGCCGCTCAGCTCCCCGAGACCATTCATCAGGTCTCAGGGGGATCTCAGTGCTGCACCGCTGAGCCACAGGGAGAGAGGTGGTGAAATGTTTCCATACAAACCGAACCTAAAAAACAGAAGAAAAAACACCTGTGTTCAGGCATTAATCCAATGTGGTTAGCTCTACTGCTAATCTAATAGCTACACCAATTAGACAGCCTAAAGTATAACCAGATAAAAACAGTATAACTTAAATTAAAAATAGTGATTAACATTAGTTAAGTTATTTTCAGTGTCGCTCCGCTGACTCTGAATTACAAGTTGGAGGTTGACGACGTGAACGTTTTCCCCCGTCTGCGATATCTAATTACACTTTAAACAATGTGACATTAAGGCGACATGGTCCAGTTATTTTAGAGTTGGCTTCTAAATCACATTCGCTTAGTGTTAGCTTCTTGGTCCAGAGTTGGCTTATAGGTCCAGATTGTTTAGACTTAGCCTCTAAGTCCTGTTAGCTAAGTGTTAGCTTCTCCGTCCAGATACCTGACAATTTAACTTCTAGTTTCTGTCACATCTCAGGTCACCTGCTTCGCTTCAGCGTTCCCTGTCATCCAGCTTCCAGTCAGTAATCTTCCATTCACCCTGTTCTCCTGCACCTCCCTGCATTAGCCACTCCCACCTGATAAAGCCAACTCCCTTCACCTGGTCACACAGCTGCTCCTGATTACTCTCACCCAGTTTACAAACCCCGGCCTTCCAGTCATTCTTTGTCAGATTGTTCTTTGCTTTTCTACGTGCAAGACTCTCCAGCATTTCCTGAAATGGTTCCCTGTTGTTAGCCTGTTTAGTTCAGTTAGCTTAGTGTTAGCTTCTAGGTCAGTCTCAGAGTTAGCTTCTGGGTCATGTTAACTTAGAGCTAGCTTTGGTCCAGTTAGCTTAGTGTTAGCTACTAAGTTCAGGTAGCTTAGCTTTTGGACCCACTAGCTTACAGTTAGCGTTTTGTTCCTTCTGAGTTGTCTTTGAATTGGGTTTTATGTCCAGTTGGCCTAAAGTTAGCCTGTGCGTTCAGTTAGCATCATCTACTGTGGGTCATCAGCTGGTTGTTGATTTTCTTTTTTCTAGGATAGCAGATCCCTGTGCTTTAGCTAGGCTAATCATTTGCTGCACATATCTAAGACAGAACAAGAACCACAACCTTTACACTCTATTTGTAATTTTAAATCTTAACCTGAACTAAACTCTAAAAATGACCTTTAATAAATTAAGGAGCAGTTTAAGTTTTTCCCTCATTCTGAAGAATCTCTGTCTCTCTCCATCATCAGAGAAGTGTGAAACGGTGGGAGAACTTAATTACGTATCATGGCTGAGAGGAGCTGCCGTTGTTCAGTAGAAATTGGTTTGATAATTGGGGGCTAACAGGCTATCACAATCACACCACTGCTCTGCTGCTCCAAAGGGAGAACTGATTGCCTGGTTATGTATTACAGGCCTGTACAGACCTTCGCTTTCTTCATCTTTCCCCAGGCTGCGCTCACAGAGAGTAATTTAGTGCCGGGAATGAGGGTGAGGCTGGAATGACGGGAATGGCTGGGTCAGTGAAGTATTGCCCAAACAGCAGGAAATCCCTCTGAATGACTGGACAGATTGTCATATCATAGTGTGTTTTACTCTCTAGAGTTTACCTGCTCTGGGTTCACTGGGTTTGAAACAAAGAAAACAAAAAACACCATTATATTATCACATACATTGATGTCACTTAATTTCATATTATATTGATTACATTACATTGTGTTATGCTATGGTACATCATGTAGAGTCATGTTATACTACATTGCATTACCTTTCCTTGCACTACATTAACTTGCGTTGCGTTAACTTGTTTACCTTGCGTTATGTTTCCATGTACATGTTGCATTACAATGTGTTGCATTAATTTGCAGTATATTGTGTTGTGATGTGATTCAGTACAGATATCGTACAAGTCATGCTAATTTTCATTGTGTTATGTTTTGATTCCTTGCACATCCTGCCATGTTATGTCACGATATACAATGTCATGCATTATTATGTTAAGTCGCCTTGTACTGTGTTGTGTAGCACCATGTAATGTTACATAACATAATGTTACACTAAAAGATGCATAAATTTGCATATTTAATGATGAACTCCGGAAAAGGCTGATCCTTTAAAAACACTTGGCATGTTTCTCTTCCTTCAGTTTTTATACAGTAAGATCATTATTATGACATGTGCAGCCTCAATACATGTTCAGTATTTTAAATCCAATGCAGGGCAATGAGTTTTCACACGATTATACTGTTCATTATAATAATTATAATCATATGAAGACTAACAAAAAATCATTAACTACTCTAATCACATAGATTGTCTTCAGGAAATGCTTCTTTGATTTATTTTGCTCTGTTTGATGCTTCCTCCTCGTATCTCCCCTCTCTGTAATGAGAAACATCACTTTATCTTCTCCCTTGTGTGTTTTTCCCTCTGGGTCCAGTGGCCATATTTAATTAGATGCACACACTGTTAATTGCTGACAGATGTTTGTTTCGTATTCTTCTGCTGAATGCATTGACAGCATATTCCCTCATTTGTTGTGTCAGACGTTGTGATCCGGAGTCACACGGCCATCTGCGCTATCACTCTGACCTTTGACCTCCTTTTGTTCTGAATGTTAATAATGTTGAATTTCTATTGTTTCAGGAGTTTGATCGAAACTAGGGACTAAAATTTGGGATATTTCGACCTATGACTCAATTTAACATCCTGTGATTCTTTATCTTTTTTTTTTCTTCTTGTTCCCGACTCAGTCAGACTCCACAACTCAACACACTCATCCTCCTCATCTTCATCACCCCCTCTCTCCGTCTGCGGGCCAATATGCAAATGTGGTTGTGAGAATGTCCTATTTCTTTATAAATAGCTGAGTGTGTGACGAAGAGGAGGTGTGTACAGTAAACACAGTCAGTTCTCTGATGTTGGACTGAGTTTATCTTGGTTCTTTGATTTCACTTGAGCTTTTCCTCATTTTTGAGATTAAAGAGTTTCATTAAAAAAAGACTCACAATATGAGGAGAAAAAAGTAGTAGAGAAAAAAGTCATAAATTTGTGAAAATACTAAGAAAAGATTTGAGATTAAGATATATTTGACATATTTTAGGAAAGTGGAATCCTATTAGTGAAAGATTTATTGACTTATTAGGATAATGTAATTTGAAAAGAAAAAAAAGTTGTAATATTGTAAATTAAAGTTGTAATTTAACAACAAAAATGTTAAATTTTTTGATATAAACACTATGACATAACATTTTGAGAATACTAAGATGTTTATCAGAAGAAAAATCTGAATATATCAAGAACAGTTTTAATTTTCCGAGAAAAAAAAAAGTAATATTATGACTTCTCATATTCTCTTACATTACAACAATTTTCTAAAAATATTTTGACTTCATTCCTGAAAAACTGCGGCCCAACGATAACGTGTGACACTGTCATTCTACTAAGTGAAGGTGAAACCAATGAACTCACCTGTCTTTTCTCCCTCCTCCACCTCCTCTTCCTCCTCCTCTTCCTCCTCCTCCTCCACCTCCTCTTCCTCCTCCTCTCCCTCCTCCTCCTCCTCCTCCTCTCCCTCCTCCTCCTCCTCCACCTCTCTTCCTCCTCCTCCTCCCTCCTCCCTCCTCCTCCCTCCTCCTCTTCCTCCTCCTCTCCCTCCTCCTCCTCCACCTCCTCCTCCTCCTCCTCCTCCTCCTCAGTTCGTATCGTCAGGAGTCGACAGTGGTGTGAGATGACTCCTTGTTTGGACGATGAAGGATGTGATCTCCTGGTCAATCAGTCGGGCTGGACCTGCACGCAACCAGGAGGCCGAGTCAAGACCACCACGGTGAGAACCGATCCAAACCCGACTCTCTCGCATGTGTTTGTCACGTGACTGATATTCCATTGGTTTATACTTAAGATGAATCCCTCTCTGTGTTCAGTCTCACCCCAACATCCTGTTTCCAAATGGCCTTTTACTTTTACTAAAGTTTTTGGTAGAAGCAAATATTCTGTATTAAATTCAAAGAAAAAGACCCATTGTGGGTTTTCTCAAAATATGATACTAGGATGTTAAAATACTGAATGTACGTGGCTGAGTTTGGTGACATTTAAACAATCTACTGCTGAGATAGGCACACCATGCGAGGTTACAGTCCCATCAGTTGTAGAATTTGTGTTATCTATTGAATCTACACTGGTTTGTGGTTGACGTGGCTCATCTTTGTTGCTGTTGGCGAGAAGCTTCTCCTCATCTGACCCCTGCTTTTACACCTGCTCCACATTTTGGACACTTTGGGTTGCAGAGCCACACCGGCCTATACCTCTAAAAAAAAAAAGGCTAAAACCTGCCATGGGGGCAATGGAAATAAATTCATATGGTGAACCTGTTACATCTAGTATTTATGAAACAACGGTATCATTAATTTGGAGTGATGTTTGTGTCCACCTGATGAATCTCAGTCCAGTGTTCTCTCTCTTTTCGCTCTGTTTTTGGTCTCCACCAGCTCCGGAGGGAAATATCTGTCTCTGTAGCTGCTAAATGCTCCACTCTGTTCTCCAGCTGCTCTCTGACTGTCTGTTTGCTGCCGACCAGGTGTTGGGCAGTGGTTGTTTTTTTTTTAGAACTTATTTCTCTCTTCTGTGATTAAAGACGGCACAACATGAGAGCAGCGAGAGCGAACCAAAGCATGAAACTCATTATAAAGCTGTAAAACTGAGACGAGAGGCAGGTTCAGCTGATGATTTTCTGTAGGGTCGTTGCTACGAGTGACATCGGGTGTTATTATATATATTATATATTCAATTAGAGCCAATTGAAGAGGAAAAAAGGAGAAACCTCACAAAGGGCAGCAGCCGAGGGATCACTCTCTAATAGATGTCATCTTTACAGAGCAGAAAAACCAGTGTTAGAATTACAACAGGGCGACTCAGACTGATACTATTAAGTACGTATATCCGTATAATGTGAAGTACTAATGATCAAATGTAAAGAGTTAGTTTCTGGTAGAGTGTAAGATTGATGTGGGTCATTGTGAAGAAGGCAGCTGTGCAGATACTCACTGTTAGATTTATAAGACTTATTTTTATCATCCAGTTATCATTAACGTGTTCCTCCCTCTGTAATATGACTTTTAAGATACTTATTTAATGTATTTATTGATTTAATATAATGTAAAAGGTATTTAATTTACTCAATCAAAAGTAGCGTGGGATCATGGGAGTTGTTGTCTTCACCATCAGTGTCGTCAGCTTCTCCTGGTTCGGACTCCTTCAGTGTCAGTGGTTCAGCAGGTTTTTACCAGGTCTCTCTTCACCAGATTTCTCTAGGTTTGAGAATCGCTGGAAACATTTGGGTTAATGTGATGACACAACTGAAGGAAATGTATAACATCCGTCTCGTCATTGTCCGACATGTTGATGTGGGAAAGTTGAAAATGGTTGAAAACGTTACCTTCCTTCTCTCTCCAACCCTTCTTTCTTCTTTGTGTGTTGAGTTTTAATCAAATATCTAATTGCAACATCAGCTTCTCATAACAAGGACGCTGCTGTGTGTGTGTGTGTGTGTGTGTGTGTGTGTGTGTGTGTGTGTGTGTGTGTGTGTGTGTGTGTGTGTGCGCGTGTGTGTGTTGATTGAATAATTGCTACCCATGAGCGCTCTCTCCTCCGTCTGTCATCCTTCAAAGCAGCTGATTAACGGCAGTTGTTTTCAGAGCCTCCTCATTCAGCCGATCTCATCACATCAACCGAACCTCGTTCAGAACGTGTTGATTTTTTAAAAACGCAGCTCTTCATCTTCTTTCACGTCTCCGTCATTCTCTCTCTGATGAGGCTGATTATCTGCCGCCCTCCATGTGTCATCAAACCGTCTTTGTTGGTGCTTGTTGTGATGGTTACATGCTGTGTATGTGTCTATAGTATGAGTCAGCGTAGTTTGGCAAATCAGTCTTAACTCAAGGTCCATTGACTTGCTTTTTGCAGAACTTTCAACCACTCCCTCTCACCAGTGGATTATTATTATATATGCATGTGAACCTTCAGTTAAGATCTTTATTTATTTATTTATTTTAAACATCTTGTGTTTTGAGGCGAAAACCTCCAAATATTCCCTCGTTCCACTTCCTCCACTGTGTCTCTCTTTTATATCCCTGTAATCCCTGGTGTTGGACTGTTCACCAACACTAGCACAAATCTTGACAAAATTTCCAGTTGCAAATGTATGTGCATCATACCATCGGAGTCAGTTCATCGAGGCTGGTGGTGCTATCTCCATTTTTAAAATTTTTTTTTTCAATGCTACTTCCATTTATTTACATTGGAAAATTTTGAAACTATCAGACGTATCAGTTCTTAAATAAAGCAAACAGATAAAAAAGAACAAATATATAATTGAAGTGAAAGACTTCTTCAGACAAACGTTTCAGAATAGATATTTACATGGATTTCTTGTTTGTTACAAATTTGAGACTCAAAGTAACGTTCAAGATCATTAGAAACAACTTGAATTAGGGACTTGATTTAAGATAAATATGAAATTTACATGAAATTTACCCGACTAAAATCAGGAGGTTAACAGTACTGCAGAAACTGTTGTCAAAATAAGTAAAAATATTTTTTCTCTTCTATTTTAAACTCCCCAGTTGGTTGCCATTAAATCCCCACACATTTACCTCTGTATACAGTATATCAATGGATGTTTATGTCACATGATTCATTTACCTCTTCACTAATATCAGTCTGTTTCCATCGCTATATATAGATTAAACATTAATTAAAATGACCAGTAGTTGCAGCTGTAACACTTTCCCTGTCTGAAGCCTGTAGAAACCTGAGTTACATGTATTTCTCCAGGAGAAACGTTCTAGTGTCGATCTATAAAGTGAGGCGCGTTGTGAAAGACGTTCTGGTTGGTCGGTTTGACACGAGTCAGTCGGCTCTCTGAATAATGAAGTCTGTCAAAGCGCCGCTGGCGTTTACACGTGAGGACGGACGGTGAAAAGGAAAAAAAAAAAACTCCCTCCCATCTGTCTCAGTTTCCTCCTCTGTTGGGAACTTGTTGTTTTAAAGACGGACGGCAGAACGAGCGGCTGATCTCTGTCACGAGAAAAACTCAGAGCCAGTTCGTCGGAGCGTCGCCTCTCGGCCTCCAGACGACACGCTGCCGCGGCTTCAGGACGTCTCGAATCAGACACGTTTTGAGGATTTTGTCTTTTTGAATCTCCCCTGAATGAAAAATAAAAAATCATTTGTTTCTTTACGGCACTTTAAACCCTCTGAGGTCAACGACCCTGCCGATATGTTTGTTTTTGGGTGTTTTCTCGATGTTTTCTTGACGTTTGTAGGAATATCTTTGCCTTTATGAAGCTTAGAAATATGATTCAAATGTTGGAATCTGTAGACTCTCTCCACTTCTGAGTGTTTATTCTCTGGAGACTGTACATGGCTCACAGCTGGAGTTAGGAGGGCTTGACACACATCATTTATATATATATATATCTACTGATTTATTCATATATTGCAGTACTTTTGTGAACGTAAAACTTTGGTAAACTCAGTTCAAGCCCCAAAACAATTCCTCCACATGAGCAGAGATGTGTTTTCACAAGGGAAGTGAAGAATTTCAACCCTAGGGCCAAATTATCTCGACACGGTGCTCCGGGGCAAATGGGTGCAGCTGAGATTTTTCTGCAAATTTTTTGATACAAAACACTTTGGTATCATGTTGTATTCAAGTACCTTTTTTAAAAGGTGAATTTAAGATGATCTGTGAAAGTGGATTGACCTCAGGAGGTTAAAGCGGTTTTGGACACAGTCACGACGTTGCATTTTACAAAGGCTCCACACAAAATCCCTTCATTAACAGAGTCTTCATCCATGCATGCATGAATTAATCCCCTGAGACTTAACTTTTTTTAAGTGAATAATTAGCCTAATGTTAGTTTAATGAAGACATTAAGAACATTTAAGGCATAAATAACACTAAAACAGGCCTGTCATGACTTTATCTTCTAAAACCTGGACCGTGATCTCGACTGCGACTCTGGAGGATGAGGATACTGGGACGAATCTCCCCGGGGCTCTGACACACAACAACCCTCTCTCTTTGTCCTCTTGTCGTATTTTGGTTGAAACATGACGCCGAGTTGTTGCGTCTGCCGCCTCCGGCTCAGACGAAAGGAAAAAAAAAAAAAAAATCCTCTTTTTTTTGTTTTCTTTTAAAGGAGCTTCACACAAACGAGCTCCTCTGCTAATGAAGGACAGCAGATCTGATTGCCTCGCTGTAAGGCAAATTAAATTACAGAGACGCAACGCTGAGTGGGCGGACCGACATGAAACTCTACTGTGTTTGCACGAGGAGAGGAGTCAGTGTTCATTAAAACTCAGAAAGCAGGATCAGAGGAACAAATGACGTTTAATTAGCCCTGAGGAGGTTTACAGGCTTACAGGGACGTACGGAGAGAGTGGAGGATTTAATTGGTGATATATAACAAGTCTGGATGAGGATTTGAAACAGACTCACAGTGCTCCTTCAGGCTGTCTGATGTCTCTACAGACTGATGACTGGATGCAGCTATTATATATGGATTCACTTTAACACTGTAAGAACATTTCCTTACTCTTCTGCTAAACCTCCCTGAAGGCCTCCTCTCATGCTGCGATTCTGATCCGTCCTGGAGGAAAGTTGACAGTCGTGAGAGGAACACGTTGATGTCTCCGGTCGATGCTCCTGGATCGCACCGGGGAGACACAATTGTTGATGTAGAGCGAACGGAGAGCAAAGACGAGGCTGCGTCACAACTGAGGAAAACAGTGTCTGAGATGGAGGCTGAAATCGCTCAGTGTGGA